GTGGGCCTGTTCCGAGAAGCAGGTGCGGGTGGGCGGGTTCCGAGACCCAGGTGCGCGTGGGCCTGTTCCGAGAAGCAGGTGCGGGTGGGCGGGTTTGAGACCCTGGAGCGGGTGGGCGGGTTCCGAGACCCAGGTGCGCCTGGGCCTGTTCCGAGAAGCAGGTGCGGGTGGGCGGGTTCCCACTGAGGCCTCCCTCTTGGGCTTGTATAGGGTCCTCTCCCGGTGTTCTCACATGATTGTCCTTCTGCATTCTGTGACCTAATCTCCCCTTCATACAAAGACACTGGTCAGACTGGATCAGGACCCACCCTAATGACTTCATTTTACCTTAATTATGTCTTTAAAGACTGGGGGTTAGGACTTGAATGTATGAATGTGGGGCCGGGGGGAGACACAATTCAGCCCATCACAAGAATCCAGGATTCGTTTCGTCCTCCTGAGCTATGATTTCTAATCGTTTATGGCTTCTGAAGCCAGAAAAAACACAAACACGCAAATGTCCTCAGAAATCCACCTGCACACTCATGTATGCTCCAGTCCACAATTTTCACAAAGTAAAAGGTCATTTAGGTGAAAACGAAGGACTCTGACTCCTTCTAAGATTAGAGCCAGCAAGGTGGGACCGCTGTGCGGGTCCCTGGCCTTCTCCACCTCACAGGCTCCCAGCCCCTCGCTGCCTGCGCACCCTGCCCCCCGCCCCATGTCACCCTCGGAGAGCCGGTTCCTGCTGCTCTTTACAAACCCAGCCCATGTGCTTCTCACAGCATCGCTCTTGTAAGAAGAGAAAAGAAGGCTCCTGTTCTTGGAGCATCTACTCTGTACCTGGCATTGGCCTGGAGACTTTACCTAAGAGACCCCATTATGGGGCAGAAAGGTTTGAGATACTACACCCCAAGGGCAGGGCCTGTAACAGGCCTTCATTCAAGAGAAGTCCGCTGGCAGGATGAATACTGATGGGACTTCCCCTGTCCTGGGGCCCAGCAAGCCCCCACCCCAACCCGGAGCTGGCTGAGTGGGTAGCCTGGGACAAAAGTGGTCTGCAGCCAAGTGCTGGCTGCCCCTCACCTGCCCTTCTCCTCCCCAGTGAGCAGGCAGCTCATTCTGTGGGTCTCGTGGCCACCGCAGCCTGCAGCTCCCACCTGCACTCATAAGGGCCAACCAGCTGGACACCAACCATCTGTCAACTGCTAGCTGAGCAAGCAGATGGTCGCAGAGCACTGGTTCCCGTTCTGGCTGGACTTGGGGTGCATGAGGCCCCCAAGACTCACTGGGGAGAGAAATCAGACTTCCCAGCAGGAATTAAGTGGTGAGGCCATTACCCAGAGGACCGTTGTGGAGACCCCCCCCATGACCTAAGGAAGACAAAGCTCCCAGACCAGAAGGACTGGGCTCCCTGAATGTAGCCCCACACTCGAGCCAGGGTGTTGACTCAGAACTGAATGGGACCCAGCCAGAGACCCACACGTGGATGCCTCCAGGGGCCCCGGGGGGGCTGAGCCAGGCCAGGCTGCTGCCACCAAGCATGCTCCACACAGACACCCCAGGCTCAGCTGAGGGCTGTACTCGAGCTGATGGGGCCTCGAGATGCCCCAGACACCTAGACTAGACGACTCAGGGATATGTCACCGAGGCCAGAGTCAGAGACAATAGTGGGACAAGGACAGGTCCCAGTGGCAGTGCCGAGCCACCAGCCCCAAAGCCGGAAAAGTCTTGGTCTTGGCAGTGGTGGCCACATCCTGCCCGGGACAGACTCACAGGTCCCGAGAACGTCAGGGGCCTGGGGCCCCTAAATCTGGCCTCCAGTGATCTGCCTAGGATGACAGTGCTCTAAAATCAAGGCCACCAAGTGGCCCTGCAGAGTGGGCTGCCATCAACCGACCTGTCAGAGCTCCACATCTTAACTGCAGGTCACCAGACTCCACGCTGCAACAGCAAGCCTGTCATCATGCACATGGGCCCGTGTACAAGCAGCCCCTCCGTGAATACAGGGACCCCAAATACCTGCCCCCTCCATACCCACCTCACTTCTGGGGCATTGCCCACCCTCCACGCAGAGGAAGATCCTCTTCAAGGGACTGCTGTTGAATGAATGAATGCACAATCAAATGAACAACCTAGCATTGTGACAGTCAAATAGAATGTGAAACAGCAGTCAAAAGCAGAAAAGACAAACCGCCCTGTTTCAAGACAAATGTTAGAAATGAAGACACTTTCGGGGCGCCTGGGTGGCTCAGTTGGTTGAGCGACTGCCTTCGGCTCGGGTCATGATCCCGGGGTCCTGGGATCGAGTCCCGCATCGGGCTCCCGGCTCGGCGGAGGGCCTGCTTCTCCCTCTGACCCTCTCCCCTCTCATGCTGTTTCTCTCCTGCTCACTCTCTAATAAATGAATAAATAAATAATCTTTAAAAAAAAAAAAAAAGAAATGAAGACACTTTCCAATTTAAATGCCTGAGCTTTGTAGAAATTCACTAGGACCGGAGCCCTTACACAGCCCACGCCGGGTAAGTAGCCAGTTAAACAAATATGTTACTGTGATGAGTCTTTGTAAAGTTGTAGCGAGTACACAGAGGCATCCCCGCTAACTCCGCTTTCCTGGGTGGGCGGCAGAGCACGCGGCCGGGATCCGTGACTCGGCAGCCCGGATTCCTAACCGTGCTGTTCTGTGTACAGGAGCCCCGCCGCAGGCCCACCCTGTGTGCTGAGGCCCGCGCAGCGCTGGCCCTGGGCAGGTGTCCGGTCCTGGCTGTTGGGAGCGTTCCCGGCTCCCCGGCTGTGCCTCCCCCGTCCGCGCCAACGCTGTGGTCGGTGCCGACACCCCTTCCTCCTGGGGGTCTGCGGTTTGGGCCGAGCCAGGCAGAGGGGCCTGCGCGACCAGCGCCAGCGAGAGCCCTGCTCCGCGTCTCTAACGAGCTTCCCCAGCAGACAAGACCCCACACGTGTTGTCACAACGCGCTGCCGGGAACAGAGTGTGTCCCACCTGACTCCCCGGGAGAGGGTGCTGGAAGCTGGCGCCTGCTTCCTCTGGACTTTGTGCCCCCCAACGCCCTCCACCCCGTACCTTTTCCCTTCGCTGATTTTGCTTTGTATGGGTTCACTGGGATAAATCTCAGCCGTGAGCACGACTGTGTGCTGCGTCCCGTGTGTCCTCCTAGCGAGTCATCGACCCTGGGGTGGTCTTGGGACCCTGACACAGGAGTCTTAAGAGAGGAGTGAGAAATTAAAGATGCTCGTGCAAGATTCTTTTAGCTTTTTATGACTTGTTTCTTGATCCCCTTAAAGTGCCTTGCCCACGCCTAATTCCAGAGCAGTTTTCCTTTCTGGTTTTACCCTGTTGAGGCTCTACGAAGCACCCAGTTTAGCTGCCATCCCATTTGGTCAGTTTGTGTAAACTGCAATTATATCAGCCAGTGAGCTGGCCAGGTCACTGCAGGGGGCACAGAGCTATCGTGGGAGCAGGTGCAGGTGGGGGCGTAGGTGGGGGGCGCAGGCAGGGATGCAGGTGGGGATGATGGAGGGAGACCTCCTAGCTGCAAGGTCGGTGTGCAATGGGCACAAGGAAGGACATCTTCTGGTGGGAAAGGGAGAGCGCTGATGGCCTAGCAAGTCCAGAGACCCCTCTGACCCCTCCAGTCCCCTAGGAGAGGGGAAGGCCTCCTGGTCATTCTAGGGCCAGCCAGGGCCTGCTCCTCCCACCAAAATCCTCCTCTAACTCCCCTGATGCTTAAAACACAGTGGGATGCTGGCTTTTGTGGCATCCCTCCCACTGCATCCTGCCCTCCCTGTGATCTGGGAAGCACACCCCAGTTCCCCTCCCAGGGCAGAGAGAATCCAGCAAGACTTGTGGGCAGAATGCACCAAAATGTTCTGAAACTTTGTGAAAGACCTTGACTGTCCCTTGACAAAACTGCATCACACCTCAGGCTCTCACATGGGTCGTTGGCTAAACTGGGAGGACATTCTAGCATCATTTCCGGAGCCCGCTCCAAATTGTGCAATACCTAGAGAGTCTGAGCCGCTCCCCTCCACCCCCCGCCGGGAGCTCTACGCATGGCTCCCCCAGCCAGGCCCCTTTCCTGTGCTAGCGGCTCCCTGGCTAAGACCCTGCTGGCTCCCGGTCATCCAGCCTCCCCCTACATCTGCTCTGTGAGAGTGCCCTGTGCAAGCTGCACTTGTCGCCTGGCTCTCCTCCCCACACCCGCCTGCTCCGGGTCGTCCCTCCTCCAGGCCCGGAGTGCAGCCAGACCAAGGGGCACCCGGCACCTTGCCCAGGCCACACTGAGATGTGCTCACAGTGTGTGAGCAGGTCACAGAGCCTCAGGTTCCCCCACGACAGGCCCCTTGGCCCCACGCCCACTCACCTGACAGGAGCGAAACTGGCTGACGAGCAGTGTGCACCGCTGCGGGTCCTTCCGCCCGTCCAGACTGTCCAGCTCAGCGGCCACCTGGTTCAGCTCCTCGTCCGCATAGTAGAACTGGGCGAGCAGCTGTGGGTCCGACCTCTGCAGGGGAGAGAGGCCCGGGTGTGAATGGGAGCATCACCCTCACAGAAGCCCCACGCGCCTCCTAACTGGACACGTGGCCTGACCCCCCCGCAACCTCCAGCTGCATTTCAGCCCATAGGGCTGTGCCCACTTCTCAGAAGGCCGCCCTGACGGCGGGGCCCCAGGGGACAGCACCTCTGTGGGGAAGCCAGATGTCCAGGCCCAAAGCTCCCAGTGGTAGGAACTCACAGATGAGGGGCTCGTGGACAGTGGGTGGAGGCTGCAGTGGGGTTAATAGAATCGGCTCTGAATAATCAGTTTCTATTCATGAAATGAGACTACAATGACAGCCAGCCAGTGAAGGAAGTGCACCAGACTAACACAACACGATTTCCTCAAATGAAGCCTCATCAATGCTTGCCAACTCCTGCTCTACTCTCTAGAATCTTCTCAGGTCCCCAGCCTGGTTTCCATAATACCAGATAATGCCACTGCTCTGTGGCAGGAAGCCCCTTCCTCAGGGGCTCACCACCCACCCACCCTCCTTGCAGCAAAACCCGGGTGCCCTGCTCCCATGACAGGATGGCAGACTGTCCCGAACTCTCTCCCCATTCAGCTCCAGCCCACCAGCCCTCTCCCCTCACACGCCAGCCGTCTCCC